TACTTGGTTTGCAAAGTATTCCAAATTCTAATATAGGTAATCAAAGAGTAAAAAAGCTTTTCAATGAATGTCCATTATAAGTATGGCAAAGACTGATTTAGCTGTAAGCTAATAGACACACTGTTTTGGGTAGTTTGGTCTTGATAGGATTTTTAGTTTAATACTTGGGAATGAATTTACTTAAAGAACTGTTGAATTTATTAGAAAAATTACTAATCCGACCTCGTTTGCAATAAGTTGAACACCTTCGTATACTCACTCTAATATTATTCCACCTTCTTCAGCCATGGCTTTCACGCCATCAGGGGGGATATCCATAAAATTTCCAAGATCATTTCCACTGCAGTAGAAATCCCCTGTACCTGAAAGAACACATGTACAGTGTATTACAGTCAAAGGCACATTACAGTGAAACACACTTTTCATAAAGTGCCAATGCCAGGGAATGACAATTTTGTTTATATTGAAAATATATGTGTTTTCATCTACAATATATTTTAAAGCCACAGAGAATGAAAACCATGCAGTTTACTTTTACATGTATTTTCCTTATAAGCACATGTGTTTCTGCATCAACTCCAACATGTGCCAATATGAGAATTTAATGTCTGCAAAGTTACAAAACAACAAGAGGCTCATAATGCTCATCTGAATCAGTATGGCCCTGTTTTATATCATCATAAGATGTTTTTTTTTCTACATATTCTTATTCAAAATGACCCTTCTGGCCCCACTTTAACCCCAGTGTCATTTGAACAAACTGGAGTCTACAAAATCTGAGAAGGCTTCTTTATCAATACAACTATTAATTCATGCTTTGCTGTTCTTGAGAAAATTTCTTAAGAAATTTCCTGTATACCAGGTAGTCATAAGTAAAACTTTTATACCCACTGTGGTCCCATCCTACCCCTAGGGGTCATGTTTTTCAATATTTTGCTGCATACTGTTTTATCCTATATAGCTACTGTGATAAAAGTTTGCTGTCACTATTGTATAGATATTTACCTGCAAAAGTACTTTAACAAAATTTAATAACTTTTTCCAGATTTCTGTGTGAATAAATTCTTTCACTAAAGTTTACCTGTAACTACTGCTACCACCACATTCTTGTCATCGGCTGCCTCCTTTAAAGCCAGTACCCACTCATCATACATCTGAAAGACATAAAGTGATATAAACAATCATGATCTTAATGTAACACATGTACTGTAAAATCACTTAAATTCATCGCAATTTTCGTGGATTAATTGCCTATACTGTAAAATTACATATTTTCGTGGGGTTAAAATTTCTAGATTTGAGGAAAAAATATTGGTTTGTGTGGATTTGATTTCGTGGTTTGGAAATGTTCAGTAGTTATGCATATCAAATTATACATTTTGTGGTATAGTCATGAATTTGAGCTCTCTCCATACTCAAAAACAGCAAATATTAAACCCCACGAAATTAGTGATTTCAAAGTATTTTACAGGTTAATAGAGGGGACATAATTTAGAGCATTTACATGTACTTATATCTACAAAAGGAAATATAACTCCTAAAACCCTTATCATCAATTTCTTATGTGAATTTGTGGATGCAAGGTTTAGGTAATCCAGAATCTTGATCCACCACAAAAACCAATGATTCCACAATAATCACCAAAGTTGCATTAAAATCTAGTTAAAAAATTAAATCTGACTAATAATTTTACTTAGAGTCTTATAATAATAACAAATACATGTAAATGCGAAATTGGAATTGATATACACTGTACCTCAAAATTGATAGCATTCTTCTTGCTAGGTCTGTTGAGCTTGATAGTGTAGACTCCTCCTTCATTAGTTACATCTAGTGTGGTAAATTTACTGCCGGTGGCTGTCATACTTTCAGCAGGAGTTTCTGGTTTTTCTTTGCCGGCTAATTCATCAACAAGTTCAATATACTTTTGCTTGGCTGCGTCCTTTAAAGAAAGAAAAATATCATATTCAGTATATACATGTATTAATACATATATATATATAACTGACAACGAGAATTTTGCTGATTGCGTACATTCTGTACCTCTATATAGCTTCATCATTTATGACTGGCTTGAAAATTGACACCCAAGATAATACTTGAAGTATTATTACATGAGTTTCACAAATGACCATTATATCCATACATCACACATGTACATGTTGATAATAACAGAATATATGCCCTACCTAGCCTTAGAGGTGTAATGATATTTATATTAGTGAATCACTGTGCGCAGAAATATTATATTGAATTGGCCCGGGACATGGGGTGTAAAAATGTCATTCCTGTAAATCTCGATCCCAAATATATTAATTTTCTTAGTACATATATATATATTCCATTTTAACCATTTTATTTTAATTTTTCATTGGTTCTAAAGAAATAAATGTTAAAATTATCCCGTCTGTAAATACCTGAGTAATGTCGCCTAAACTGTTCCAGGCATCCCATTTTGCTTTCCCGACAAAGTCCATCATGCCTGGTTTTTGTGTGTTGCATTTTCCATTTGTTGCCTAATACAGAAACATATACCAATTGCAATTATCTCATTGATAAATACAAACTTTGATTGTTTCTTAAAATGTATCAGTATGAAACAAATACTTCATACAAGCTGGAAATCTCATAAAAAGACATGGTAGATTTGATCCTGCAACAAACTCGATCAATAATACAATTAATTCTAATCAACAGAAATAAATACTTGTTTGAACAATGCGTATATTCTCAATTTGACATCATTTCCTGGCTCCTCCCTCAGAGTATTCAGTCGATTTTTCGCTTTCTCAAAATCATCATCAAATGCCCCCAAAGCTCGCACTGACAGGTGTATTGATCGGTTCTGAAAAGCATTCATCCTGAAAAGAAATTTGATTATTTTATCAATGCTGATAATATTTGATTTTGATAATTACTAATTACATTACAAAACATGAAATCTAATCATTGAGATAGTAAATACATTACATAAAAATCTTTGTGTTAGTTTTCACCTCCTTCTTCTTCTTCCGGTAGGGAGTTGAACTCTATACAGAGTGTTAATAACTCCAGCTCGGTTAAAAACAGGAGGCTTCCTCTTTAAAAACGGTTAAAACTATATACAATGTGGCTGTCTTTGTCTACCAGGGTTGCAGCTGGGTCCAGGGGACGCTGTTCAGTCCAGTCCTGAACTCCTGTATAGTAGGGGCTGCTGTAATTTCCTCTGGTAGGCGGTTCCAGTCTCTCACCGACCGTGGGAAAAATGAATTCTTGTAGACCTCCTTGGTGGCACGAGGCTGTCTGTATCTATGGCTACCTCTAGTTCTTCTGTCCCCGGGTGTATAATACTTGTCTGGGTTGATGTCCACCAGGCGATTCCTTATTTCATAGCATAGGATTAATCGATGTGTTGTTCTCCTATGCTGGAGTGAGTCCCACTCTAGTTGTTCAAGTAAAGATGTTACGCACCCGGGGGAGGTATCCGTGTACTGATTAAAGACGAACCTGGCCGCTCTACGCTGTACCTGCTCTAGATCCTTTGTTAAGTTGGTCTGGTAGGGATCCCATACTGGTGACGCATATTCGATCGATGGTCTGATCATGGTACAGTATGCTGTTGCTTTAACTGTTGGTGTGCACTGGCCAAGGTTTCGTCTCAGGAAGCCCAGAGTTCTTGTAGCTTTCCCTATCTTGGTGTGTATATGGTTGTTCCACTGTAGGTCTTGGGAGATGGTAACACCAAGATACTTCCCACTCTCCACCACTTCCAGCTGATGTCCATGCAAGGTGTATGATGTTTGCAGTGGTTGTCTTTTGTTGGAGATCCGAATGACTGTGCACTTTTCCGGATGGAAGCACATCTGCCACTTCTTTTCCCATCCTTCTAAGGCTGTGAGATCTTTCTGTAATTTGTCTGCGTCTCTTGGTTTCGGATCTGTCGATATACGAGACAGTCATCCACAAACAGTCTGGCGTCTGATTTGGTGCACTCAGGAAGGTCGTTTATGTAGGTTAGGAAAAGGAGTGGTCCCAGGACAGTTCCTTGTGGCACTCCGGAAAGGACATCCAACGGTGAAGATGTAAGCCCATCCAGTACCACTGATTGGGTTCTCCGACTTAGGAAATCCTTTATCCAGCCTAGGGTGGTGCCTGACACTCCGTAGTGCTCCAATTTCAGTAGGAGACGTTGGTGGGGGACTTTGTCAAAAGCCTTTGAAAAGTCCAGAAGTATCACATCTGTCTGGTATCCCTGGTCCATGTTCCTGGCTAACTGATCCAGTGTTATAACAAGTTGTGTCTCACATGATCGGCGGGCTCGAAAACCATGTTGCTCATCACAGAGGATGTTGTTGCGATCGAAGTGGTCCATAACTGTGCTGTGTACAACATGTTCCAGGAGTTTGCAGGCTATTGATGTTAGCGAGACAGGCCTGTAGTTTGATGGTTGATGTTTCTCCCCTTTCTTGTATATAGGGACGATGTTTGCTCTACGCCATTCATCAGGTATCTGACCGTGATCTAAGGAAAGCTGGAACATCCTAGTCAGATATGGGGCTATGGACTCTGCACTTTGCTTCTGGATGAACGCTGGAATCTCATCGGGTCCAGTAGCTTTGTATGGGCGTAGTCCCTGTAGTAGTTTCAATATTCCCCTCTCGTTAATGGTTATGCTGTCCATAGTAGGGAAGGGGCTAGGTCCTAGATCGGGTAGAGTACTCAAGTCCTCTTGCGTGTAGACAGATTGGAACTGCTCATTCAGAATCGAGGCTTTGCTGGCAGTATCGCTACGGAGGAAGCCGTCTTTGGACTTCAGTGTCACAATCTGGGATGAATCCTGCTTCCTATTTTTAATATAAGTCCAAAACCGTTTAGGATTGGTACGCAGGTCATCGCTGACGACATCCTCCAAATAAGCTGTGTGTGCCCTCCTGGATTCTCTCTGTAGTTGCCCTTTGAGTGCCTTGTATCGCTTGTTGTCTTTTGAGTCTTTACTGCGCTTAGCACGTTTGTAGGCTTTCTGTTTCCTGTTGCTTAGGCGTCTTAACTCAGAGGTCATCCACGGGTGGGTATGTTTAGCCAGAGTACGTCGAGATGGTACATGATGTTTTACAGCTCCTAATATAAGATCCTTAATGTACCCCCACATGCTGTTGACATCTTCAAAGTCGGTATGTGTGAAGGTATCTAATTGACTCTCGAGCTCGTCTCTAATGCCGTTGGTATTGGCTTTCTTCCACAGATAGATGGTTCTCCTTTTTGGCCGTGGTCGAGATATGTGTGTGTTGTGAAGTCTAGGAGTACCACATCGTGATCGCTGTTTCCAAGTGGTGGGATGGTCTTACATCGACTAAGTTGTCCGGGATGGGATGTTAATAATAGATCCATGATGTTCTCTCCTCTGGTCGGGATATCTACTACTTGCTGCAGGTTTACCTGTTTACCTGTTAGCATCAAGTATCATTTGATATGTAATAAGTTTTCTAAAATGTTCATTCAATTTGACAAATATCCCTGTAAAGATGTGTCATTACAACTTTCTCATGATAACTGGACTTTGACCAGCTACATACTCAACATGCAATGAATAGCAGACGTGTCCCTAGCTAACATGATTGCAAAATTGTAATTCCATGACATGTATAGAAAAAAGTATTATCATTTAACCAAGATTATGTAGTTTGCAAAATCATATTATATCTACAAAACTTTTCAATAATCTATTTAAAAGCTTAACCATTTGTTTACTCCAACAACCCGAAGCCGACGCATCAAGGAGGCAGCCATTACAATTTTACAGCGCCACCGTGTGGTGATAATTTGCAAACCGCGCTATGGCGGACAATAAGCACTATGAGGTAAATATTACAGATATATCGAACTGTTTATGACCATTCTACTCTCCCGTGAAATATTTTAATAGCTTTTATTTTATTTACTGTGTATAAACTATTAAAATCAATTAGT